ATATATATATATATATACATTTTAGCTCATCAGTTTAGTCAGAATTTTATTTTTCCAAAGTGAGTTTTTTCAAAGATCTAAATTATCAACATAATTTTGTAATATGTTGTTATTCACTTCAATCACAAAGATTTATTGTCTTGATGAAGTAATTTATAAAGCTAAAAGTTCTTTGCTTATTAGCTAACACTAATGCTTTTAATTTCATTCCATTTCTGTGTCGCAAGATTTCCTTCAGTATTTCAAARGTTTTTTTAGGTTTTATTTTTGAATTAAAATAATGCATTTGTATCATTTTAAGCTGCATCACGTTAGGTGCTAAAGAGCTTCACTCCTACATAACTTCATCCTGGCTTTTAAAGCAACACATAGACACAGAAGAAGAGACTTTTTGTTGGTCCAACAGGGAAAGCAGGGGAAAGTAACACTGAAGTGGGTGCTTTGAGTTGAATTTGATGATTTATGTGTTGGGGTAGAGCAGATAAGGTTGTGCAATTTGGGATTGTGAAACTGTGATTATTTTTGCAACTGTGGAATTTGTTGCGGGTGGCAACACTGAGCATACTTAGAAAACAGATGGTACTTGACTGGAGGACTTTTGTTAGAGATGCTGCAGTTCCAGAAGGTGGTGTGTAGAGTAATATAGCCTCAGCTGCAACAACAATTTTTACAACTTATTTCAAGGTCTTTAGTTAAAGTTGAAGATTAATAAATATAATATGTGAGGATACTATAAACAGTAATTGACTGTTATCTTTTGTTTAAAAGATCCATCTGTTCATTCTGGAACAGACTCATATTGATGCTTCAGTGTTGTTAAGTATTGTTCTTCACTTTTACTGTTTACCAGGAATTTCTTGGCTGCAGCTTGGCAAATTTGTTAGCCGTGTTTTATAAACATCATTAAACATTTTGAAAATGCATCAAAAGCTTCTAAATATTTAACACAGTCAGATATCCTTAGACCCTCCCAGAGAGACACGTAGACCTTGTTTGATTTCTGCATCTGGAACCTGCAAAACAAAAGTCTTTAAAACAAAAGTGCACCAAATGTGTTTAATATAACATTGTCTTAAATGTTTCTTGCGCACAATCCAAAAAAAGTTAAAAAACAAAACAAGCAAACTTCTATTCTGAAGCTGAAGACGTATCACTTCCCATCCAGAAGAATTTATAAATTCAAAAAGGTTAGGTAAAAACTTCAGAATAGATGTCCAGTTGTTGTTGTTTTTTTTAGCTTTTTTTTTATCATGACCTGGGCGACTGACAGTCTTTACCAGCTTCTTCTAAACAATTATTTTGATTGATCATTTATTTGCTTGTTTAATTGCTTTTCAAAATGAGCTTTACTTTTCATTTATTAGCAGTGTGAGTCTTAAGTGTTTTGGTAATTCTGTGGTCAGTGCTGCAGTTTTGTAATCCTGAGGCTGCAGGGTCAAAATCAGGTTACGTCAGGAGGGTGGACGTCCAGCATTAGACAACTGCCAAATCTTTTGTCCAAAGTTGTTTTTCTGTGGAAATCCCTGCAATGGAGAAAGGTTGAAAGAAAAACTTTATACGACTTATTAGCTTAGTAGATAAGATAAAAGACTAATGAAGAAAAACTAAGTAAAATTAGAAATGAGTGACATTAGTTTATAACCAAACATTGTCTGAAACATAGTCTTTTAAAAAATCAGTTTCATTTTTTATTTCTAAGTAAGTGAGTATACAAAACCTGTGGAGACTGAGCTTTTCAGATGGTGGCCCTGAGGCTTTGCATCTCTCTCTCTCTGACGCTTCAGATTCGATTGATTCCACTGACTTTTTAAAAATGTTCATATTCAGACAGACTTTTATTTGGGTTTTATTGTGCTTGACTATATTTGTGCACTGTTTGCATTGTTTAATTTGACTTTAATCTCTGCGAAGCACTTTGGGATGTTTTGCAATCTGTTTATCTCTTTCTGTAGTGACAAGTAAGTATTAGGTTTTATCATTTGGTTGAGTTGATATGAAAATGTAAAACGTGATTGCTCTTCATGTTTGCAGCTGCCTCTGTTTTCAAGCCGGGCGGTGCAGCTGGGGTCCCTCTACGTTCGAGGACTGAGCCACCTGGTGGGTGCTAACAACGCTAGCGGCTGCCCTCTGCTTAGCGCTGCTCTGATGCCGTGGCACAGCTTCGATGGACGGCTCTTCCACTCAAAGTACCAGCTGGCGCACAGCGGCGTGGAGAAAACAGAGCTGCTGGACAGTGATGTGAGTGGAGGAAAAAAAAAAAAACGAGCTAAACAGGTTACGTTTTAGGACAGAAGAAAAGGTGACTTCTACTAGAATACATCTGTGTTTTTGGGTCTGATTTTCTCCCATTTATGAGCAACATAATTTTAAACATCTGCAGGTTTGTGTTTAATTATGTGTGTTGTGGATGAGTCCAGTCTAAATGTGTCTGTGTTTATTTCCAGCTGTCCTGCCTGACTCAGTTTCTTCAGCTGAAGGAGAAACTTCTGGAAACCTGCAGGAAGAGAGGTCGAATCCTGCAGTCCAGACCCAGAGTACCACAGACAAGTGTTAAACCCACACCTGGAGCTAGATACAGATCCTCTGACTCAGGTGAGACACCCATCTGATTAATCACTGCTTGTTGATGCATACCATGCCTTCTTCATCATCATTTATTTCAGAAAGACACAATAAACAGTTCAGTCTATAATTAAATGATTAAATATCATCATTTCCTCCCTCAGACCAAAAACATGACTGTTCGGTTAACAGGTAACTCTAAATTGTCCCTAGCTGTGAGTGAGAGAGTGACTGGTTGTTTGTCTCTGTGTGTCCCTGTGATGGACTTGAACCTGTCCAGGGTCTACCCCGCCCCTCGCACACTGACTGCTGGATATGGGCACCAGTGACCACTGTGACCCTGAAAGAAAGAAGCGATTAAAAGATAATGGATGGCTGTTTTAAAATTGTTTGATATCAGCTTTTAAAAAGAAAAAAAATATTGAAAACATTTTGTTTTAATATGTTTGTACAAAATAATTATTA